TGTTTCACTGTCAGGGCGGCTAGGACCTGGAACCAACTTCCAAAAGAAGTGGTGCTGGCTCCTACCCTGGGGGGTCTTTAAAAAAAGGCTGTACGAACATCTGGCCGGGGTCGTTTGACCCCAGTACTCTTTCCGGTAATGGCAGGGGGGCGGACTAGATGATCTCCTGGCCCTACCAATTATGAAACTATGAAACTATAAGGGCCACATCCAGACGAGTGTGGACATTTGGTTCCCTGGGGACAAGTAGCAGCAGTGCATCTTGTGCCGCAGCTACTTGTTCTCAGGGAATGCCTGTGCTACGCATGCTTTGGTGCATGGCAAGTTACCCCAGGGACAGTAGGGGAGGCTGGGTCCAGCACTAGGCTGTTCCCAGCAGCCTTACCTGGGGTCCTGAGGACTTCCTGGGGGTTGCAGCTGTGGTGCTTCTGCCGGGTGAAGCCTTACTGGTAGCTGCAGCACATTTCTAGGGAGCCCAGCTCCACTTTTCAGCAGCGCATGCTGCCTGTGAGTGCACTGCTCTGTTGTTTTTTTCCCCCCCACAGGTTTTTTTGACCCCTGCATATCCAGGGGTCAAAAAAACCTGCAGGACCCCCCACCCCAGCTCCTGCAGCCTGAAAAGAGTCATTCTTTTGTTTCATCTGAAACTCTCATTATTGTTAGTGCAGGATTATTTCAAAATTGCTCAAGCAAGGTGTTGCTCTCTCAAACTTGCCTGCCAGGTCATGTTTTTCTGTTAGTGCAGTGTGTCTATGGAATTAGTTTGAACTTTTCGGCAGCTTTCTTTGTGTAAATCACAGCATGCCTATGGAATTGTGTCTATGCGTACTGGCTAGTGCTGCAGAGTACTTATGCTGCTTGTCAAGTCACGTACTGCCAGGTGTTGGCTGTTCTTAAGGATGCACTTGCATTTGGTACAGATGTGAGGTATAATCTGCACTCTGCAAAGTGACAGCACTTGCATCAGAAAAGGCATTTGCCCATAGTTTAACTAGCAATTCAGTCTAGTGGAAACCAGCATTCATTTCCATCTGAGTATCCATACTAGATTTGGTCCTGAAAGGTCTCCTAGAGACATGTTGAATCAGATAATCTCTTGGATGTCCTGGTCCTTTTGGTCAGTTCAAGCTACTTTGTCCTACTTGACATGATTCTGCTGCTGGGATTGAATGGGGCCAATAGAAACTAATTGGACAACTCTGGAGTTGTTGACCCCGCCCAGATGTGCTCCTCCAGTGTTTGTGGAGAGAATCACTCACTACTGGTGCTGTGTTTGAGAATATGTAGTCCCTAGGAGGAACTGGCAATATTTATTTTTGTCCAGCCTCCCGTGGAACACAAGCCAGGACATCATCATGTATCAGACTACAGGATCTGCTCCAGTCCCCTTGGAAATAGCTTTGAAGGGGCTGAATGAAAGTCCATCAGCTATGTCTTCAGAGCAGTGAGGCTAGTGTCCCTGAGTGTTATAGCTGTGATAGTGGCAGTTGAGTTAACATGAGTTCCCCTTTCCCTTTCCTCTCTGACTTCTCTCCCTGTTCCTGGTAATCCTCTGTGTCTTTTTTGCTGGTTATGACTAGAGATGATCTTTTTAAATTTAAATTTTTCACATTGTGAAAAGTAAGAAGGGGTTGGTTTGGCTGAATTTTTTAAAATTGTATTTGAATGCTCTCTTTTTTGACCAGGTCTCCTCTTAGCTAGGACTCTACCAATAATCCAGTCACAGGAGGATGAATCCCCATCCTAGCCACCTGGCCTCATCCTCTTGGACTCGGCTTCTGCTCTGTGCCACATTTCCTCTTCTGTAGTCCACCTGTTCCTTTTCATGCCTCGTTTCCATTGCTCATTCCCACTCCATGAAAGTAGCTAGGGCTGGCAACATAAGGAGAGGTTGTTTTCAGTAAGAAGCAGTGGAAGGAGAAACAGTTTGTTAGGTATAGCAGACCCATTTGTTGACTCAGCTCTTGGCTAGTCCAGATTTGCCCTCACACCTCGTTAGCTAGAAGCGCATGCTTTTCCCTGCACAATGAACCCTGTGGACTCTTTAGCAGGATTTAAGAGCTGACCACTCCTTAACGTGGAAAGCAACACATAATGCTGCCAGTCCTGAGGCTTATGAGATAGAACAGAATTGATTCAGTATATCAGAGCCAGGTGTCAGCAGATAAATACCTATCTAATAGTTTGTTGTCCTCTTCC